GGGTGTCAGGGCTGCCTTTTGTGTCCAGAGAGGAGCCGAGCGCCTCTGTGCTGTGTTCGTGTGCCCCCAACCACCACCTGCGTAAGAAGCACCTTTATTGTCTTAAATGTTAAAATGACAGGACCCCCCCACCTCCCTTCCCTTCTGCCTTCTGCTTCCCCCAGACCCAGAGACGAGCTGCCAAAGGGGTGCGTCTGTACCAGCCTGGCACACGTGCCAGCGTTCTCATGGCCAAAGAGGGAAGCCCGGAGCAGGAGCTGCCGCAGCCCAACCACCGGACCTCCCTCTGTGTGGCTGCTGACACGGAGCATTCCGCAAACAGTGAAGGAAGCCATGAAACTGGCGATTCCGGAAGGTTCTCTCACGAGTCAAACGAAGAACTGCATCTCTCCATCCTGGCGTCCACCTCCTACCCAGGGTGCAACGGCCGCCCCACCCCGAGGGCTTCCGAGGAGCCTCCAGACCCGAGCCGCTCTCCGCTCACGCTCCAGCTGTCGCCTGCAGGACAAGACTGACTTGCCGGCCAGACGACCGCCAGACTGACCGGCCTCTTTGTCTGTTCACAGGACGCCGAACAAGGGGCCCGAGCGATCCGGGGAGCCCTGAGGGGCTGGCAGGCAATTCCACGCTGATGCCATCAATGGTTTTTTGGGGGTTTTGATGCGTCAAACTCACTCGTCTTGAATGTTCCGTGCTCCGCCATGTGAAAGGAGCGCTCAGTTTTGCTTCCTGAGAAGAGCAGAGCTTTTATATATATCTCTCTCTATATCTATCTATCTATCACTGGAGCAAAGGGCAGCCCCTTTGCTTGCGATCTACCTCAGTTTGCCAGGGGGCAAACTCAGAAGAACACCTGCATTTTACCTTGTTTTTTGTGTGAAGAGTTGGTCTCAGCTACGTAACCGACAATAACTTCCTAGCAGTCCTAAACCTTTTCTTTTTCCTCTGTTTTCGGTGTAGAGTGTGCGTGTGCGCGTGAGTTTCAAAGGAGCTGTGGAGGGAAGTGGAGGGAGGGGGCTGTTCAGCTGACACTCTGGAGAAGAGGTGGAAGCCAGGCGTAGACGCCTCGGTGTGGCTTGAAGCTGGGGCCAGCGTCAGAGCGAGGGGGGGGGGAGAGAAGAGGCTGGTTCTATAAAAAAGGGGCCCCCGCTGCAGCCGCAGCCAGAAAGAGGTGGGGGAGGCACCAGAGGCGCACGTGGGTGTCTAGATTCCCTCACGCGCCCACACCCCCCCAAGAGCCTTTACTGCCCAGGTGCCTCCCTGAAAGGGCCTTTTGCTGCCTAGCAAGGGGACCCGGCCATCGGGTGGGTGGGGGGTGCACTCCGAAACCCTCAGCCCCTTCCAAGGCTGGGCGGGGGGCGCACGTGGGTGTCTAGATTCCCTCACGCACCCACACCCCCCCCAAGAGCCTTTTCCACCCAGGTGCCTCCCTGAAAGGGCCTTTTGCCCTCTGAGCCTGGAGGGCCCCATGGCTGCCCCAGAGAGTGAGTGCCTTCTTGTGGGGATCCTGTCCCCCCCGTCCCCCCCCCGGCCAGTGTGTGTTGGTCGCCTGGATCCCTGGGACTCTGCAATGATTCGCCAGCCCCCCCAGTTTGGCCCGGCCGGACAGGCAGTGCCGAACGCTGAGCGCTCCCTCGTACGTCAGAGCAACAGTGCCTTCCACGATAGATGTTAGGGAATCACCCTTTTTGCCTTATGCCGTTTTTCGTGTCCATGAAGTTGCTTTTGGGGTACAGAAAGAGGCCTTAACGGAGAGCGCCGGGCAGGCAG